GAATGCTGGATTATTAGAACAAAGTGTTCTTGTGTTGAGGGAGTTCTTGAGTAGAGACCCAATGTCCATCTGCAACCTTAATTCTTTACATATAGATATGAGTACACAGTTCTATTCCTCTCTTGTTTTATATATATATTTACATATATCCATGCCTGTATTTAGACCTGTATAAATGTCCTTTGCCTCCGGGTTCTTTCTCTATTTCCTTTTACTTTCCACTTGTCCCACCATCACGTTCGGCCTTCATTAGTGTTGAGTAATTCCTCGCTGCTGTATTACCCTTGATTAAGCCCTACTAGGCATCCTACACCCTTCTCTCCATTGATTTTAGTTCATTTGTTGTTCCCTTGTCCCTGGGTTGGTTCCCCCCCACCCCGCTTCCCTTTCTTTCTCACACCTCCCCTCTTTCTCCCACCTCCCCTTCTCCCGTAACACTCTTGTCTTACACAAAAAATTTTCACTGCTATTTAGAGGCATAACTCATCAGTGCCAAGAACATAATCTTTGCCAGATGTGTGCAAAATAGTGTCACAGTAATGTAATTCTGGATTATCAAAAGGAGAAAATCAGAGTGTAATGATGATAATTAGACTGTATACTGTGGGGCAAAAGTGATATTAAGGTGATTTGAAAATAAGCCTCTGTCAAGTTCAGTCAACTTTAAATTTATTTTACCTTTGGATGCTCAGTGTCAATGGACTCTGGCATTTGATACAGAAAGCAAGTGCCATAAGTAGTCCAGACTTGAGTTGCTGTTGTCATATTGAGTTTTGTACCAGCTGAATAAGAACGGTAAAATATTAAGTACTTATATCCAAGCATGTATTTTGTTCCAACTGAAGAAGATACTTTTACTTACATATTTGTAGAATTGAAGGTGAGGATATCAAAGGACTAAGCATCAGTCAGCAGTTCAGAACCACCAGCTGTTCCCCGGGAGAAGATGGAACTTTCTTTTAGCCATGGAAACCCCCCCAAGGGCAGTTCTACTTTGTCAATGAGTCAAACTTGACTTCATAGCAGGGAGTTTGGGTTTTTTGAAAGCTCTATCATTATTATTTATTGAATTTTTATTTCAGGTAATATTACTTCAAAGTAAGATTTTTTAAATGCTAGAAAAACATAAAAGGAAATATTCTTTGGATAGTGGATTTATTAGTAATTTAAAAATGTACATCTCTTCTCCCTTTTGTTTGTAACTGCCAGTATTGGCCATCGTGGAGCTGAGACCTAGCAATAAAGGGCAGTGGGGTAGATGTCAAAAGATTTTGGTTCCTTCGTATCCTGAGCTTATCACTAAACCAGTAACTTCATCTTTAAGATGAAGTGGCTTTCACTGAAAATTTGCATCGAAAGGCATTTCTTTCTTCTGGATTGGGAGACTTAACATTGTTACTATTAATATGAATATGATCAACATGCCCAAACTGAAATGCAAAAGCTGATCCAAAAGCTTATAGCCAAAGCAGTCCTGAAAAGGGGCAATTCACGTGTGTCAGTTTCAGAACTAGAGTTCTCACAACAGTACTATCATAAGCACAAACAGACAGACATGGTGTGGGACTCATGACCATAAATAAACCTACATGTCTGTGGCCAATTCATTTTTGACGTGGGGTGGGGGGCCAAGATCATTCAGTGGGGAAAATAATTTTTTTAAAAATGGTGTAAAGACAGCTGGATATCCATATGCAAAAGAATAAGCTGGACCCTTCTCTTACCCTGCATACAAAAATCAGGTAAAACTAAATCAACAATGAACTATAAGAGCCAAGACTATAAACTCTTAGAGTAAAACCAGGGCTAAATCTTCATGGTCTTGGATTTGGCAATGGGAGTTTTAGATGTGACACCAAACTCATGAGCAGCAGAAGAAAAAATGAACATAGTGGATTTCATAAAACATTTTTTAAAAGCCCAGCTATCGAGAGGTATAGCGTCTGGGGTCTTCAAGGCTTGAAGGTAAACAAGCGGCCATCTAGCTCAGAAGCAACAAAGCCCACATGGACGAAGCACACCAGCCTGTGTGATCAAGAGGGGTTGAAGGGGCCAGGTATCAAGCACCAAAAAACAAAATATCATATCATCATGAATGAAGGGGAGTGCGAGATGGGGTCTTAATGCCCATCTGTAGACAACTGGACATCCCTTGCAGAGGGGTAGTAGGGAGGAGATGAGTCACTTAGGGTGCAGTGTAGCATCGATGAAAGTCACAACTTTCCTCTAGTTCTTAAATGCTTCCTCTCCCCACACTATCACGATCCCAATTCTGCCTTACAAACCGGGTTAGACTAGAGGATGTACAGTGGTGCAGATAGGAACTGAAAACACAGGGAATCCAGGACAGATGAACCCCTCAGGATCATTGGTGAGAGTGGTGATACTGGGAGGGTATAGGGAAGAGGGGGGAGGTAGAAAGGGGGAACCAATTACAAGGATCTATATATAACCTCCTCCGTGGGGGATGGACAACAGAAAGTTGGGTGAAGGGAGACATCGGGCAGTGTAAGAGATGATAAAATAATAATAATTTATAAATGATCAAGGGTTTATGAGGGTGGAGTGGGGAGGGACGGAAAAGAAAAAAGAAAAATGAGGAGCTGATTCTAAGAGCCCAAGTGGAAAGCAAATGTTTTGAGAATGATGAGGGCAATGAATGTACAAATGTGCTTTACACATTTGTATGGATTGTGGTAAGAGTTGTATGAGCCCCCAAGAAAATGATTAAAAAAAAAAAGCTTTATGTACCAAAGGATTTTATTAACAAAGAGGCAACTTCTAAAAATAATGTGAGAAAAATATTTGGGAACCTTGTATCTCATGGGTTTAGTAGCCAGACTGCAAAAAAATTTACAACTGGACAAAGAAAATCCAGTTAGAAAAGAATGGAAGCCTTGAATAGGCATTTTTCTAAACAATATGTAAAAATGGAAAACAGCACATAAGATGTTCAGCATTATGGCCATCTGATTCACTGCCACTGAGTATAGGTCAAAAGCACATGTTAATAGACGTTATTATACTTGTGTTCATACAACATAAGGTCATGTATTCTTTTTTTTTTTTTTCAATTGGCTTAGCAAACTGCTCAACCTGCATTTAGTGTCAAATAAAATTCATAAGTCTTATTTGTGTCTTGTGTTAAGATCAACTTTCCCCCAATCAGAACTTGTACAGTTGGCTTTTTGGATCAGCATATAGAACCTGAAATTAAAAATTTTAAAAATCATCTTTTTATATTTGCCTAATTATTTATGTTAGACCAGTTGGCTAGGGAAACAGATCCAGGGATATTCATATATGTGTAAGAGAGAACTTTATATTAAAGAGCAATAGTATATTGAGAAAACGGCCCAGTCCAGATCAAGCCCATAAGTCTGATATTGGCCCATATGTCTGATACTAGTTCATACATTCCTCTTTAGACGCACTCAGCACATGCAATGTGATGCGGAATGCAGAAAGGTCACAGGCCAGTGGGTGGAAAGTCTTGTGGATCCAATGCAGTGGACGTATCCCCAGGGCTCTGGATGTCATCAGTGTGGCTCCATGTGGCTTGTCAACAGGAAGGTGAAGCAGAGAGGGAGAGGGAGAGAGAGAGAGAAAGTTCCCAGAATCCTCATGAGAGGGCCATGCCCACAAGGAGGCATCATCAGACTGTGACCTGATGGACAGGCTAGACTCCACCCCTTCACTCTTAATATTCTCAAGTTGACACAAGATTATGTAACTACCACA